TTACAACAGGAACCGCTGTCCCACAAGTCAGCAATGGCAGCCTCCAGTGCTGGATTCAGAACTTCAGTTTAGACAGGGAAGCACATAACTGACAGGTTCCCTTTAATAATATCCACAACCTTAGTCTTCACTGGGGTGATCAGAGGATATATGGTCTCTTATGTGTCCCCCTAAGTGAGGATTACTGGGGGTCCAGGACAGAGAAGCAGAGCCCAGAAGTAACGCATCCTGGAAGGATATACAGGCGGCCTGGTCATGATTGGAAAATAAGGGTTTGAGCCTGTCAAGCTTTTACTGCTGTGTTCCTATATGGGAGATCCCCAATCAGAAGAGGAAGTGGTGACTGTTCCCAACTCTATCCAAAAGTACAAAAAAATTATAATATTTGGCTGAAGTTCAGCTTTACATGTCTTCAACAAACATAATGAGACGCCATCTAGTGACATTAATACCCTTCAGATCCAGAGAGACCGGCACTGCTGCATTCAGCTGGACTGGTAGTACAGAAACACGAGTCAGCCGTGATCTAGACCGGGCTACTGAGAAATTCAACATGAGACTTTGCAGGGTGCTTGGGAAAGTATTACACGGCCATTTTGGGAGGATGCTCGGACATGTATGACACAGTCGCCCTCAGAGGGTTCTTAGACATGCATGGCACAGCTGCCTTCAGAGGGTGCATGTATGATTCCCCAGCCCCCCCTCAGTGGGTGCCCTGGACATGTATGATCCCCACTGGCCCTCAGAGGGTGCCCTGGACATGTATGATTCCCCAGCGGGTGCCCTGGACATGTATGATCCCCACCCGCCCTCAGAGAGTGCCCTGGACATGTTTGATTCCCCAGCAGCCCTCAGAGAGTGCCCTGGACATGTATGATCCCCACCGGCCCTCAGAGGGTGCCCTGGACATGTATGATTCCCCAGCCGCCCTCAGAGGGTGCCCTGGACATGTATGATTCCCCAGCGGGTGCCCTGGACATGTATGATCCCCACCCGCCCTCAGAGAGTGCCCTGGACATGTTTGATTCCCCAGCCACCCTCAGAGAGTGCCCTGGACATGTATGATCCCCACCCGCCCTCAGAGAGTGCCCTGGACATGTTTGATTCCCCAGCCGCCCTCAGAGAGTGCCCTGGACATGTATGATTCCCCAGCCGCCCTCAGCGGGTGCCCTGGACATGTATGATTCCCCAGCCGCCCTCAGCGGGTGCCCTGGACATGTATGATTCCCCAGCCGCCCTCAGCGGGTGCCCTGGACATGTATGATCCCCACCCGCCCTCAGAGGGTGCCCTGGACATGTATGATCCCCCACCCACCCTCAGAGGGTGCCCTGGACATGTATGATCCCCACCCACCCTCAGAGGGTGCCCTGGACATGTATGATCCCCCACCCACCCTCAGAGGATGCCCTGGACATGTATGATCCCCACCCACCCTCAGAGGGTGCCCTGGACATGTATGATCCCCACCCACCCTCATAGGGTGCCCGGACATGCATGACATAGCTGCCCTCACACAGAGCACTCTACAGTGAACAGCACCAGGGACCTCAAAAACTCACGTTTCAGTGTATCTGTATTTTATCCATAAGGACTGTCATTATAGGGCATTACATATATACACTTCCACGGACAGAAGATCTCCCACCCAAGTCAAGCTACTGTCATCTCATGTTTACAGACAACTGCAGGACAAAGGTCTAGGCAGCAGTCACCATTTCCCCCACCCCCCTCCCCACTAATGACGAGCAGGGACAGAGGGTACAAACACTCACTTCGATTCGTCGTAGGGTGTCTTGCAGATGCAGTAGATCTTGTTATCTTTCTTGGAGTCTTTTGAGGTAGTGGAGATCATTTTCTTTTTCTTAGACTTGGAAGGAGGGGACTCTTTCTCTTCTTCTCTCTTCCTCTTGTGGGAAGACAGGCTGGTGGAGCCAGACGTTGGGGAGGTTGGGGTTGGCTTGTGGGTGGCTTGAGGAGGTGGGGAGGGCGCAGGAGGGGGGGGCGGCACTTTCTTAATCTTATTCAGGTCTTTCTTCAGTTCCTCCTGAAAAAAACATTGAGAGAATGAAGAAAAGAACTAAGCGCTTGCACACTAAGCAGCCCTGTGCAGCAGATCCCCCGGTCTCACCTGGACCTCAACCTGCAGATCTTTATCCAGCAGCGCTCTCTTCTTCAGGATCTCGGCCTTCAGCTGCTCTTTGTGTTTGAAGAGAAGGGCGGAGAGGCGGCTGGCATTCTGCTTGCTCTTCTTCTGCTCCACGCTCTCCTCCCGCTTCCTCTTCTTAGCCGCCTGCTTCTCCTCTTTGTCAATCTTGTCCAGGATGTATTTAATCACCTGGTTACAGACGATCATCCTGGGAAGCAGAAAAATGCCGCATTAAGATTTTAAAAAACTTGCCAGACTGACCAGAAACTAAAAAGACAAGACAAAGTCATACCTCTGATTCTCCTCCCTCTCCAACGGGGTCATAATCTTCTTCTGTTTCAGGTGCTCGATGACGGCGTTCTGTTTCATTACCACCTGGCGGATAAAAACAGCTAAGTCGTGGCAGAAACATGTCCTCAGTGATGGCTTCTAGGGATAGACTGGTGCAGATGAAGTTTTTCTATCAGGCATACCACACTCCTTCCCTATTGTGTAAAATGGGCCTTCGATCCGACCCAGGTTGCTTCAAGCGCCGTGGTCATGAGGCTGATCTCCTACACTCCTTTTGGACATGCATACGGACCTTCTGGTCCGAGGTAACTTCCTTCGATGCTAACCTTGGTTTTCCCAACATATGTAACCCTGCATTCTGCCTCTTGGGTCTGTTTGATGAGTTACCGTTGCCCTCGGGTGCTCAAACATTACCCCGCCTGCTTTTATTTTATACCACGCTTTTATTCTAGCGTGGGGTACCCCCAAGGCCCTCTCCCTGGGTGACTGGAAAAGGCTGGTGGATCAGACATTACCCCTCTACAAACTTACATACGAACAGCGTGTGCAACCCGCTCCGCTTCTCTCGCAATTTGGGGCCCCTGGCTCTCTTCTGCCAATACGAATATTGACTTTGTTTAAATAACCTCACTGCTCCGTAGCTTACCGGAGCTTCAAACATCCTCCGCACTCTCCGAAACGCCTCGCAACCACTTACCATGCCTACCAATACTCAAATACTCAATATATATATTTAACCAGTAACTTATTCTCTGTTCTGGAGTTGTAAACCTAATATGTATGTTGCATGACATTTGCGTGAATTATTCTGGGCGGGTTAGCCCACTGTCTGGATTTTGATGTGTTTTTCTTGGTTGTATATATATGAATAACATCTGAAAGCATCAATAAAAAGCATCTTAAAAAAACAAAAACAGCTAAGTCACAACTGGCAGACTGCGAGTTCAACATTCCCTGCGTTGGGAAACATTTTAAAAGTGACTTCTCATGCTTTATAGGCCACTATCAGGCATACATTGCCGAGTGCAGATGGCATGGTATGTGCAGTTCTACAAAATCGCCTCTTCTTCTAAATGGAACTTTAAAAACACCAAAATCCACCCATTTGCAGTGGAGATCACCTCCCGATCTACTGAGCCGACCTGTGAGTGAAAAGCCCCTCCCCCCCCTCATAGTTCTCCTTTAATATTTAAAAAATGTGAAAAAATTTTGTGTAGGGGGTACAGTTCCAGTGGATTTTTATATAATGGGGGGGGAAATTTCTGCCCCGGGCACCCATAACTCTGCCACTGCAGAGGAGGACTCAGATAAGACTCACCTTTAATCTGCATGAAACATGACGGCATACTCTCACAAACATCAGCAATACAATATATGGCCAAAAGTAATATGTTCATGTGAGTGGCCTTGCACAGCAATCAGACAACTCCTCACCTGCTTCTGGATGATTTCGCTCTGGTTGGTGGTGCCCTGTAGAGTTTGCTCACGTTTCACCTCCTGCTGCTTCTTCTTCAGCTGTTGCTGTTCCTGGATCTGTTTTATCCTCTGCAGGTGTTCCTGAACGCTGGAAGCCTGCACGGTCACCACATTCTGGATCTGGTGGGGCTGCGCCGCCCCCGCCTGCTGGATCTGGAAGGGCAGCTGGAGCTTGATCTGCTGGGCAATGCCTCCTTGTTGGATCTGAGCTACCACTTGTGACGGAAGGTGGGAGAGGACCTGGACCTGTTGGTGGAGCTGCGGCATTGTGATCACCTGAGTCTGGGTGGGTTGGATCTGCAGCTGGGCGCGCGACGGAGACTGCACTGTCATTTGACTGCCTTGCTGCATGATAGACTGAGGTTTCGAATGAGCGACCGCCTGGATGGGCTGTTGCTGAGGAAGCGGGGACTGAATGTGGAACGATGCCGGCAAGGACATCTGGATTGAAGCCTGTGCCTGGCTGACCGCAGGCGACAAAGTCTGAACTGGAGGTCGACTCACGAGCTGGGTTTGGCCATGTAAAGAGGTCTGGGGTGGCATTTGGACAGCAACTTGCGGCAAGCAAGCCTGAACGGGGACTTGGGCAGCTAACGTCTTTGCCTCTGCTGACATCGAGGACTGGACAGAAGTGACTGGCTGCTGTGTCTCTAGTGCTGGCGGTAGAGCGCTGACTGACGCCTGGATTTCCTCAGAATGGGTAGAAGACTGCAGTTGAGATGTTTGCAGATGCTGGGGTGTGACGTGGGGTAAGGGATGTGACGGGACAGGAGGCTGAGATGGGGGTGGAATCGTGGTCTGATCTGGAGAAGGAGTTGATGGTTGCAGCAGACCTGACTGGGCTAGAGCAAGCGGAGGGGGTGCTGCCTGGGTGCTCTGTCCTGCAGATGTCTGTGTTGTGGCTGTTGTCACTGTTAAGTAAAGGATCAAAGAAAGCAAATAAAGACTACATCGCACTATATGGAATGATGACATTCCTTATATTCATAATAGTAAATTCTGATGCAACCACGTATTATATCCCTAAAATCCAAGTCCAGATAATTAGTTCTTATTTACTTATTTAGGTCAAGAGCAGAAGATTTCAATATAACATTAAAATATATCATTATGTGACACCCCCCCCCCCCAAATCCACACACAATGTACAACCCAAGCCTTGAGATTTGCAACCCTTTGTTAGGACAATGTAACTGTAAGCAGCAATTTTTACATATTCTTTTCAAGTTATGCAATGTGACTGGGAACATGCAACAAAAATACAAATTGGTGTTAACACAATTTGGTTGCAAAAGTGGAAATACATTTTGACACAAGAACATTCTGAGCACCTACTTGTGGAGGTGGTAGAAGGGGTTGACATCACCGCCGCTGTGACAGCCGTGGTTCCCGGTGGAAGCGGAGTGAACAGGAACCTCTGTATGGTGCCATTCGGCATTGCGGCCTGCATTAACTGCTGCCCTGGAGTGGGAATGACGGTCACTCCCTGTGGAATGAGCTGCAGCTGCCCGGTGGTCTGGCCCTGACCTTGGACCACGACAGTCAAGCTCTGGTTACCGCCCTAGATCAAGCAGAGACAGAACAGAGTGTGACTGAAAGATAAGGCTCTACCTTTCCCAAGGATGAGTGAAAGCACACAAGCACTGGGAGAATATGCAAACTCCTTACAGATCTATATATTACATTGTGGGATAGTCCTCTAGAGTAGTGGTTCTCAACCTGTGTAACCTCAGGACCCACATTTGTCCTTAGACATTAAGTGGCGACCCAAGTTGCACTGCAAAGGAACGCACGGCATTGCGTACCGTGCGTTCCGGTGTGGGCGATCCGTGCCTTCCTGAGCTTGGGGTCCAGTGCTGGGCTCTGACGGAGCTCCATCCATACATGCATTGCTTGTACAACTCCGTTGTACCCTGTAGAGGTGCTGGAAGCGTGACGCCACTCTGATCCAGGCACCTCTACAAGGACACGTGAGGGAGCTCTAAGCAATGCATGTATGGATGAAGCTCCTTTGTGTCCATAGCTCCAGCCGACCCCACCTCAAGCTTACACTTGGCAGCATATTCTGAATGGCTGCTCAGCGAAAGAACTGGCAGTGCTGCGCTAGGGGGAGGCTGCGGAGCCTCTCGCATAGAAAAGTGGAAGGCATGCGGCGGCCCACTGAAAACGGGATCGCAACCCACTTTCGGGTCACGACCCACCAGTTGAGAACCAAGGCTCTAGAACAGGGGTAGCAAACCTCCGGCCCTCCAGCTGTGGGGGGACTACAAATCCCACGAGGCATTGCAAGATTCTCACAGCCACAGACATGACTCCCGAAGAGAGATGCATCATGGGATTTGTAGTTTCACCACAGCTGGGGGGCCGGAGGTTTGCTACCCCTGCTCTAGAACTTACCATGCATTACAGAGAGTAGCAAGGGACCCATCAGCTACCCATCAGCTACCCAGGAGTGACTATCCTGGATACAAGGTATGTAAGGCGCCCACCGGTGTCTGCTCTCGCATCAGTTTTATTTGGTTTCCATTCCCAGCTGCCTTTACCCGTTAAAGATTCTACAGGGTGCTATATGTGCTGGTCTGCCCCCTTACCTGCTGCTGGGTGAGCTGGGTCAGCTGTGCCATGGTCAGTTTAACCTGCCCGTGTTGTGGCGGTCGAACAGCCTGCGGGGTAGTCGCCTGTGGCTGGGCCTGCTGCATCGGCGTGCCAACCTTCTGCCCTCCACTGGAAACTGTGGTCCCAATGGGCATAGTGGTGGTAACAGGTTGGCCGCGGATGATCTGCGTCACCACCTGCTGGGGTTGACCTGAACGAGAAGAGAAAGACGATTACTATGATTTGCACATCTGGCCAAATACAGGGGGGAAAAAAATGGCCGGTAGAGGAGGGAGGAGGAGTTTGAAAATTCTACCACCTGCTTTCAAATACTCTCACATCGACATGTAATCCTGACCAGCATATCAATATATGGTTATGTTTAATAAATGACATTTATGTGTATAGTTCATAATAAAATACGGGAAAGCTGAAGGTCCATTTGGTAATCGCAGTGAAGGCTTCTTACTTTGTAACGCTGCACAGTAATTATTGACCATTTCCCTCAGTGTGAATCTATCGGTTTCTCTCCCTCCCCCTGCGGGCTGATATAGAGCCAGTCAATAGAAGAACAAAGAACACAGATGTAGAAAGCATGCGAGAGCCTTTACCAGACTGGATGATCCCTTGCTGTACCAGCAGCGGAGTCCTCATGATAGGTTTCCCAAGAGTGGACTGCTGCAAAGATGGCGTCCTGATCACCGTCATCCCAGCCCTGATCTGGGGCCCTGCAGTTATCACCTGGAAACATAACAAGACTCAGCACAGGTCCTTTCGTGTAAAGTTACCCAGAGAACATCATTTCACAAAGCTGGAGTTACATCAAAGTGTTCTTCATAACAAAAGAGGAAACACAGGTATCGGTTTTTATCTGTGTGGCCCGATGGCTGCACCCCGGAGAACTTTGTGTGCGTTTTCCAGTTTAATATTTTATCTAGAGGGAGAGCCGGTCACTATTTGCCTTGATGTGAACCATTCTTCTAAAGGCAGCAGGCTAGGGACCATTGTTTAGAGTGATGGGGATAAGCTCTTCTCTAATTAAGACAATCCGATGCGGCACCCGGCTGTCTGGGGGAGGGGACTGTTCAATGTAACAATGAATGCTTATCTGATTCTGTGAGGTATAGACTCTGTGCGCTCTTCTTCAATAAAGCAGTTCATGTTTCACTCCAAAGTCAGTGCTGTCTGATTCTTGGAGTAAGCCCCCCCCATGCCATAGCCACTGGCTTCTGGTTCCAGCACCCAGGGAACAGGCTTAAGATGGAGATATCCAGTCGGGGTATCAGGGCAGTCCGTCACAACAAAGACCAGTATTCTTAGGCTAAAGTGCAGATTTTTAAAGCTATGAATCTGCTATTTACCAATCATTCAATGCAGGTGAATCAATCACTATAGTTTAAAGCAGTGGTTCTCAACCAGAGTAACCTTAGGACCCACATTTGTCCTTGGTCATTAAGTCGCAACCCCAAGTCGGACTGCAATGGAATGCACGAAATTAGGATACTGCGCGTTCCAGTGCGGGCATACAAGCTGTGGGTGGGAGGTGTGTTTGGGGTACCATTCAAATGAACGGCAACCCAACACACCACCCACACCAGAATGCAGGGTACGTGCGATTAACCCACTGTGCTAGTGTGAACAGACCCTCAAAAACAGCACCCACTCTCACTACCTTACGAGAACTGGGGTGGATCCTCAGCCTGGGGTCCAGTGTGGGCTGAACTGTGACGGAACTCCATCCATATGTGCATTGCTTGTACAGCTCCCTCACACGCCCTGAAGAGGTGCCGGGAGCCAGAATGTGATGTCACCCCGGTCCAGGCACCTCTACAGGACACGTGAGGGAGCAGTAAAGAAATGCACGTATGTATGGAGCTGCCTCGCAGCCATAGCCCCGTCCGTTCCCACCTCAAGCTAACACACGGCACCGGGCGGAATATTTTGAATGGCCGCTTGGCATGAGAACTGACAGTGCTGCGCTAGGGGGAAGCAGAGGAGCCTCTCACCTACAAAAGTGGAAGACATGCGACGACCCAGTAAACACTGGGTCGTGACCCACTATTGGGTCACGACCCACCAGTTGAGAACCAAGGGTTTAAAGCACGTGCACTAAAGGTGCCCATACACCTTACGATTATCGGACAAACTTTTCGTCTGAGGATCGAATAGTCGGACGATTTTCGTACGGCGGCCCCATCCTGCCCCGATGATCGCAAGATTAATTTAGCTGTAATTAACGAAAAGCACGAAAGGCGGTAATTGATTTCCCGTATTTTCGCTAGCGCAAGCGCAGTGTAGATCGTACGACTTTTGACGGACGGAAACGCCAGCAACCTTTACGACAATCGTACGATCTAGCGAAATTATCAAACATGCTCGATCGTCAAAAGTCGTACGATTGCACAGTACTGTCGGTCGGACACTGCAATGCGCACATACGATTATCGGACGAAAAGTCGATGGCATACGAAAATCGTACGGTGTATGGGCACCTTAAGGGCTTGTTCATACCATGTCTTTAAAATGGCTTTTTCTGCGCACTACTGCAGTATGGTGTGAACAGGGCAAATGGAAAACAACTACGTCTGTTCTGTCTCCTTTTCCTGATTTCAGGTGATAGAAAAAGATAAAAGTAGGGCTGTTACTGATTAACAATTTTCGTGTTCGATTAATCAAATTTCTTTTTAATCAATTAATCTCGAATAATGATAACGCACATACAGATCCAACTACATTGGCCTATACACATACAGCGCAGCAATGAAGTAATACAATGAACTAGGATCACACTAAGACCCCATTCACACCTAGCGACATACCTTTTGCAGCGGATCCGCACGGCCGGGATAGCGCGACTTTCGGGGCGACGTTCCAGCGACGATCCAGCGACGGTAGCGCGACCTTCCCCGTCGGGCTCCATAGAAAAAAAGCAAAATCGCGCAAAATCCGCAGAAAAAAGGGTCCGGTAGAAGCGACTTGCGACCGCGACGAGCGACGCGCGACATGGAGTTAAGACAGCTCCATTGAATAACATTGGCCGGCGACTTCTCGCGATATCGCGCGGCGGAAATCGCGCGACAATTCGCTATATGTGAACGGGGCCTAATCCAGCACGTTATCAATCTCACGTGACTCACTCAATATGGCCGCCGCTTGAGTGGGGCAACTCAGAATAATAACGTGCTGGATTAGTGTGATCCTAGTTCATTGTATGACTTCATTGCTGTGCTGTATGTGTATAGGCCGATGCCTTGGCTGGCGCTCGTGCAGAAAGTTTCAAAAACATTTTAATCGATCAAAAAGATTAACGACTAATCGAGAAATTAATCGTTAATTTGCACAGCCCTAGATAAAAGGAATACGGGGAGCAGAGTACAGGCACCAAAGTGCAGTTTTCCCAGACACCACGCTCCTACAGGCATAGAGTACATATACTGCAGGTATGTGTGTGTGAAAAACAAAGAATCGATTTGGGAGACAAATTCTTCCACATTTTAGCCCTCGTTCACACCTGAACGTTTTGTAGCGCGTTCTACGCTCGACGAACGCTCTACAAAAACGCTCAAAAATATAAATCCCATTTTATTCAATGGTCTGGTTCCAACCTTGGAGTATTTCCGCCCGTCCCTAACGCGATACAAAACGGCCCACGCCTGAAAAGGTGCAGGTACTACGTGGGGCCGTTTTGTTGCGCGTTTCCATTGGGATACAGCCAAGTAGCCTTCGTAAACGCGCGACGGTCGCGCAACTTTTTTACCGCGAATCGACAGACGCGCATATGCAATACGCCTAGGTGTGAACGAGACCTTAAAGCTTTCTTACGCTGCCCGGAGCCTCCCAGCTTTTCATGAATAAAATCTGACGCCTTGAACCATGAAGTACCTGCTGCGTGGTGGCCGTGGTCACTGCGGTTCCTAGGTTGTTGGGACGGATAGAAACAGTAGCTGTTCGTGGCTGGAAAGTGGTGTAGGTCTGCTGTACGGCCGTGCTGGTTGGAATGACTCCCAGTACCTTCTGCTGTACCTGAACCAACCCTAAAAAGGACAAAGAGGACCCGTCAGCATTAAACATACGCAAGGGAAAAGCACAAAATGTACCCAGACCCTTACCCTCCCTGCGCGGAGGGCATGTTCAGGGTTACGATTTTACTGTTAGCCGGCAGATGTAGCTTAGTGAGCACTTTGCCGGCCACAGACACCGGGCTGCCAGTGAGCTGGAATGATTGGCCAGGCGTGGTGATGGAGGAAGTGGATGGGACATATCTGCTTGGGGCTAGAAGGACAGTGGTGTGTGTGCTCATAAGCTCCTCTGCACAAGCACGTTCCGGATATAAGCTAAAGTCAAACCTCCAGACTAACATCTAAACACATTTTAAATATACACGTCAACTGCTTTATCTGCAAACAGACTCGACAATCCGTTCAGCCAGACGTGCGATTCACATGACTATCAGAGCTGGACAGTGTTCAGCTAGACGTGCGATTCACATGACTATCAGAGCTGGACAGTGTTCAGCCAGACGTGTGATTCACATGACTATCAGAGCTGGACAGTGTTCAGCCAGACGTGCGAGTCACATGACTATCAGAGCTGGACAGTGTTCAGCTAGACGTGCGATTCACATGACTATCAGAGCTGGACAGTGTTCAGCCAGACGTGTGATTCACATGACTATCAGAGCTGGACAGTGTTCAGCCAGACGTGCGAGTCACATGACTATCAGAGCTGGACAGTGTTCAGCTAGACGTGCGATTCACATGACTATCAGAGCTGGACAGTGTTCAGCCAGACGTGCGATTCACATGACTATCAGAGCTGGACAGTGTTCAGCTAGACGTGCGATTCACATGACTATCAGAGCTGGACAGTGTTCAGCTAGACGTGCGATTCACATGACTATCAGAGCTGGACAGTGTTCAGCTAGACGTGCGAGTCACATGACTATCAGAGCTGGACAGTGTTCAGCTAGACGTGCGATTCACATGACTATCAGAGCTGGACAGTGTTCAGCCAGACGTGCGATTCACATGACTATCAGAGCTGGACAGTGTTCAGCTAGACGTGCGATTCACATGACTATCAGAGCTGGACAGTGTTCAGCCAGACGTGCGATTCACATGACTATCAGAGCTGGACAGTGTTCAGCTAGACGTGCGATTCACATGACTATCAGAGCTGGACAGTGTTCAGCTAGACGTGCGATTCACATGACTATCAGAGCTGGACAGTGTTCAGCTAGACGTGCGATTCACATGACTATCAGAGCTGGACAGTGTTGCTGCAACAGCTTCCTGTATCACGGTAAAGCTGCTCGGACTGTCAATGAGCAACAATGCAGGTGAGACCCTCCCTGCGCTATCCTCTCCAGTCCTATGCAGAGCGTGGGTGAGCCCGCCTAATTTCCTACTCTGAGGATCGTGAGAATATAAAGTGACATTTAGGAAAGCAATGCCGGCTAAGGGATGCCAAGTCATTGCATTGGGAGTTGCCACTCGAGGCTGTGCACACAGAAAGCCGATTTGCAGCCATATCAGATATCCTGAATAATAATTGCTACACCTCAGACATACCTGATGTTGTCTGTCCTTGCTTGACCCAAGTGGCAAATGTCTGGTGGAAATTCTTGCCCTGCTGGAAAGACACGGTGGCGGGAGCCCCGACCTTTGTAGCAAGCACCATTTTCGTCCCGGGAGTCACAGGGTTAGAGATGGAGCTCATGACAACCTTGTGCGCTGTGGAAAGCGGGGTAACCGTGCCGCTCACCGTGGTGGTTGTGCCGACGGTGCTGCTGCTACTTAGCGGCTGCTGTTTTTGCTGTTCCAGGCGTTTCTGATGGCACAAGATTGTTCCAAGTTAGATGCAAGCCTTGCAAATTTACACACACCAACCAATTCCTGTTTCAAGGGTGAAATGCCGTGCCGCGCGTGGTGGGGGTCCTCTGGGCAGTCGCCAGCCACCTAAATTAGGACTCCACCTGGAGCGTCGCCCACCGCAGCAGCAGTGACGTGACGCGACGCTCCTCTCCAGCTCAACGCCGACCACGTCCTCACGTGTGTGTTCGGCATCTTGTGAGGCACAAAGGATCAAACAGGCACCAGTAAGTGAGACGGGGCCTGTGCTTAAGTGGGATGTTTAGAATTGTTAGTGTGAACAACAAGAATCTATTGCTGCAGTGTATTGAGAATGTGTATTGTACGTGTACTACATATAGAATACACTGCAGCAATAGAGTTACAATTCTGCCCTGCTAATATGAATGGATTCAATTATCAATAGTACAGAACATGTAGTTCAATAATTGTCTTGGACCGTTTTTGGGGATTCTCTAATGACTGGTCGCCATTAAACATGGTGTTTAGCATCCAAAGTTCATGCTCTTATTCTATCGCTATATCCCACCTGCTGGGCCGAGAGCCGCTGCTGCTTCAACTGAGCTTCCATATGAGTCTTGCCATCTTCACCTTTCTTCAGATCAGAGCCCTTCCCCAGCTCACCAGCCTGGACCTTCTCCTTCTCCACCCTGGAGGGATGAACAAAAGACAGAAAGCATGGAGATGTTATGATGGGGCAACTACGGGACACAGAACTGGAGATAAAGATTCAGAGAACAAGACAACAAAGCTAAACGAAAAATCTGCTAAGTGGGAGAGGTTAGGACAGACGGGTACCAATTCTGACGGCAAGACATGATGCTTGTGGGCCAGTATACACCGAGTGGCCAGATTATTATATACACCGAGTGGCCGGATTATTATATACACAGAGTGGCCGGATTATTATATACACCGAGTGGCCGGATTATTATATACACCGAGTGGCCGGATTATTATATACACCGAGTGGCCGGATTATTATATACACCGAGTGGCCGGATTATTATATACACCGAGTGGCCGGATTATTATATACAC